TCATAGACCTCACTCGCGGAGGTGTTGTAACACTACATTCAGATCCCAAGCTAAGGGCGGAACTTCCGCTTTGGTCCTCCAATCGAAAGCTCGTAGTAAGGCCAGTAACTCTGGAGATCTTGTCAATTTGACACCCGCTCTCATGGTGATTACAGAACTAAGCTGCAAGATATGTTGATATCGTTGAACCTTTTAAATGTTTGTTTTGGCGTAGGTAACACAAATAGTCTGCCACTTGAGGTTGTGAAGCCTCTCTTGCTGTAAACCCTTTCTTTGTTGCATAATTTTCGAAACTGTGCCACTTGTCGCCGTACAAGTTACGAAGTTGAGTAACGTAAGCAAGCGTTGACTGCTTTTGCCGCCCCTGGCAGAATATCCTCTCTTGTTTAAACACATTTGTATACAGTCCATACGTAGTTGGAACATTGCTGGGTTTCCGCACTTGTTTGGTGTGAGGATGAATTAACAGGTTTGGCGCCACTTTGGGTAGCTCCAGTGTTGGTTGACCGATTTCTTGAATTAGTATGGGAAACCACGCTCTGGCCGCCAGTAGGGCCACCAAAGTGAGTTGTAGGCTCTGTGTTTGTCTGATTTTCTGTAATACTTGAGGTATTATTGCTGGCGGCGGAAACGCTGCGACGCATTGAGGCCTTCCCATGATAGACTTAGAGCGTCCGCTGCCCAAGCTTGGGGGTCTGGGACTGGTGACACTAATGTCGGTAGCTGATTGTTGAATCGCGGGCTAATAGGTCTATTAGCGGCGCTCCTAATTGCTTGATTATCTGTGCAAAAATTTCCCTGTTGATCATCCACTCTGTCGGTGATGGTAGATGAGGCCGAGAGAGAGCCGCCTGCTAGTATATTTCTGGCTCCGGAATGTGCACTGCTCTGACATGTAGATTTAGATCTTGTATTAAATCAAACAGTTGAAAGCTTAGGTTCAAAAGGTTCATCGATCTCGTTGAGCCTTGCTTGTTTATGTAGAACGCCACTGTCGAATTGTCTGTATGGATCATTAGGCGCGCATTTTGTAGAAATGTGCTCCAATGTAGAATGGCGTTGATTACAGCTTTCATTTCTAGACTGTTTATATGGAGTTTGCATTCTTGCTGATTCCATAACCCTGATATCGTGTGGTTGGTGAGATGAGCTCCCCAACCTTGGAGTGACGCGTCTACATACAGATGGGTTTTGTATTCGATTTCTTGGTCCACCATAGTAGATGCGGTCTGAGATGTTTCGGTAGACTGAATGGTTGTACATCGTTGAGATGTGCGTTGATGAGGACCTGTAGGGGACGTAACTGTAATCTGCCTGTGACAGTCATGTCTTGGGCTGATGTGAGAAGACCTAGTAGGCTCTGCCATTGTCGCAGTGGTAACGGAGAGAGTAGAGCTGGTGGAATGGTCTGCTGTATCTTGAGCCAACGGTCTTCTGGTACCAAAATACGGTTGCGATTTGTGATGAATCGAATACCTAGGAACTGCAGGTCTTGCGATGGTACTAGGTCCGACTTGCGTAAGTTTACTAACCAACCTAGTTGTGTTAGTAGCTTTATGATGTAATTTAACTGTAGTTTGAGACGCAGTGGATCTTGATCTACTTGTATCCCGTCGTCGAGGTAAAACGCACTCATGTAGCCCTTTGACGATGTAGAAATTTGATAATCGGTTTTCGTTATCCTCGTGAATAGCCAGGGGCTGATGATATTCAATGGGAGTATTTTCCACTGGTAATGTAGCCCTTCTAGAGTAAATCGAGGTATTTCCTGGAATCGGGATGAATGGGGATGCAGGTAGGCATCCTGTAGATCTATGCTGCCCATGTAGTCCATAGGGATCTAATCATCTGGCGAACTGAGGTAAATGTATCATGCTAAACTTCGTGGTTTGGCGAGATAGTTCTTGCTGAAAAGCTCATGTTGTAGATGAGTCTGTATTTCTCCGTGGAGTTTTTCTTGGGAACTAGGAAAACTGGGGAGTAGAAACCTGGTTCGACGCTTGCTTGATCTATTACTTCTATGGCCTGTTTGGATAGGAGTGATGAAACAGCCTCTCTTATCTTTGGTAGTTGCTGCTTTGTAACATCGAACTTGGGGGTTTGATTGTCAGCGGAGGCTTGGCCTGTAGAGGATACGAAACGTGTTGAAGAATGTTGGAGACGTAAAGGTCTTGCAATATTCCCCAGTTTTCCCAGTGTAGTTGGAGGCGCCCACCCACTTGAGCTGGCTGTACTGGAACGGCTGGGGGTGGAAGACTCCAGTCGTTCGAACCTGTGTTTCAGCCGCCTATAATTGCGTAACCTCTGGGTGTCCTGCCTCTTCCTGATCCTCCTCTATAGTTGCCGCGATGGGCTTAATTTTAAAAGAATCTTTTACCTCTAGAGCTGGCTATCTTCCTGTCTCTTGCTCTTTGTAGGCCCGTGAACTTAGATCTGCCTGAGTATCTTTGTGAAGTCTGGACCTAATGACGCTGGCTAGTGTGTCCATCGATCTAATCATAAGGACTTCCCTGGAATCCTTAGAGACTTCCTTGGCGACTTTGTCGATTTCTCCGCCAAAGATGGATGTTGTTCCACCACGGGCTGTATAAAGTGGGGCTGTAAAGTTCTCCCCAATTACAGGAGGCGAGGAGGCCTTGACGACGAGCTAAGGTCAGTGCTGCTGAAACAGATGTAAGATGATCCGCTAAAAACTGCTGATCTTTCTTTTGCATAAGTAAGGCAGAATAAATCATTCTATCATCTTCCGCCGTGGGAATCCCGGAATCTAGTAATAAGAGTCTCATTGATCGCCCTAGATCTATTTAACCCAAAGAACATACGCCTCGTCATGGTTTCTATATGAGCCAATCCTTGCGATCATCCATCTTGTAAATCTTGTTCTTACATCGCTGATGATCTTATAGTTCTCATCGATGTCCTGGGCCTTGTAGAAGGAGTCCATGTTATGCGGAGAACTTCTTGGCTTGAAAGTTGGGCAGATGTGGTATCTGAACTTTCGTGAGCTTTCTGGAAAGCTGCATCTAGATTCTGTGGCACTGCCGCAATCGGGTCGATCGGGGGTAGAGTGATTGCATCTGGATCATCTTCCTTCATCAAATACGTCTGCGCTGTATTGCCACTTTTAGATGGTGATGTGAGATCTAGGTTATTGACCATCCAATACCGTATCTCTGCATCAGAAAATATGATTCCTCCATCATCCTCAAAACCATCGTCATTAACAAATTGTAGATGCTCTTCTTGCTGTCTGTATATCTGATGAGGTTTGTGGCGATCTAGTTGACTTGTGCGCCGCTCTATGTGGAGATCTGACGGGTGATCGACCTGGTGATGAACGAAGTGGAGATCGTCTATGGGATGATCTTCTCGGAGACTTGTGAGGTGAATGTTGATAGCTTCGCGAAGCTCTTCGGCAGTCCCTCGATGTTCTTCTAGATGATGAAGATCTGGAATCATATGTCCTTCGCGAATGCCTTCGCGAAGCTTCATTTGCGTCCGGTCCGGGGGATCGATGATATGACCTTCGCGAAGGCTTCCGCGTGATGTCTGATGGTCTGAGTCCATATCTAGAGATGAAATCGAAGATGGTGATGATCTCTCCGCCGCTAAGGCCTTCGCGAAGGCTGTACATCTAGGTCCTTCGCCAAGGTGGTGCGGACTTCCTTCGAAGGTGACATCGCCTTGGCTGCTACGTTGGACGGGGGTGCCTCTGGGGTGCTGTTCACGCTTGGAGCCTTTCTTGCTGGTTCGTTCGACTTTTAGCGCAGTTTGTAGTGGTCCTCCATGATGTTCATAATCTGCCGATCATGTCTTCTGAGGTGATCTGTGAAGTCGCCGGGCGTCTTTTCTGCGATGGGGTTCACATCAATGACGCCTGACGCCGGTGTAGAGGCATCAGGCTGCATGGTGATCTCTGCAGAAGTCACAGTCGCTGACACCGGGTCGCTTCTTCTGCCGTAGAAGTCGGGATGATTATCGGCTGATCATCGTAGAGGCCCAATTCTGCTGCTGGAACGATCTCGCTGAGAAAGTTCTTGCTGTCTTCGTGAGATTTCCTTTGGAAGTCTGGCGCTGCCCTGGGTGTCCTCAATCTGCGTTGAGACGACGATGAGGCCCTCTTAGACTTGGTCTGCAATGACGAGATGTCTGGGGAGGCCGGTCGTTTCTTTTCGAGGTAACGGACTGCGGCCCCACGCCTCTGCCGCAGGGGTCTCTAGCAGAACACCAGACGGAGAGGGTCGATCGCTAGCAGCTGACTGGATGGAATATCTGGACTCTCTGCCATGTTTTGCCCTTGTTGCGTGATCTATCTGCAGCACGTCTTAAGACGCAAAGGTGATATTTATTAAATGCAGAATGAGATAAATTAATGCAGTAACTGCAACGTGAATTAAACGCACACGGCGTAGAACAACTAGGGCATATTACATGTGGATCGGAGGCAGAAAAACGTAATCTACAAATCGCATAGATTTTCATCAACGTAAAGTTAGCTGAACAATCACGTAATACACGGAATAAACAGTAGAAATACGATAATTAATCAATACAAATAGTAAAGGATACTAGCTATACCTCTATAGTAACCTATGAGAGGTAAAAACTAAGAGATTATCAAAGGATATGGTGTGTAAGGAGACACAAGGCGCTCTCACATCCTGCTCACTGGGCGAAGAAGGAGAGAGTGGAGCACATGGCCAGAGGGTGGCTACACCTTTCCCCGCCAGGGGAAGCAAAGGGGAGCAACTCGTGGTGAGTACCAATTAGTGATTTTATTTTGAAGGAGCTTCAAAAAAGATGATTAAATCGGATCAACCTGTTTTGTTTTAGCTCATTAGTTACATCTCGAAATGCAACCACAATTAAAATGGTGTCTATCAGGAACCGTGCAGTAAAGTTCTGAAACTACAAACTTGCCATAGCCTTGCTCTTTTCATGACGCTTATAGTTTTCTCACTGACACTGAAAGAACTCTTTGTAGATGTAAGTATACTCACCAACACTGTATGTCCGCCAGCTGATTGGAGGAGCTGAAAATGTGGCAAACACATCATCCACACAGTTGAAGCGTGTCAGCATGGGTGAGGTGACTGACTGACCCCGGCACTGACCCCACATGTACACCTTCCCTGTCTGGCTCATGGCAGCCGAGATGTGTGTGTAGTGACTGGCTGCGATCTCCACAAACCTGGGGACACACTACTATCAGGTGACCGAGTCTACTGCTGTAGTCCTATGTAATGTATGTTACTTAGTACAACACCAATAACATGTGACACAAGACTGAACTTCAGCAATTATCCAGTATTTGGGTTTTGACAGCAAGAATAAAATGTATCAATTAAATAAAATATTGGCCATGATTATCATGATTAAACTAAATACATGTTTCAGAAATATGACATTCTGATATCGCTCTTTCATGACAATAAATTCCTGATGTATGCTATAGTTGCCCTGTTCAAGGTTCAGTAAGGCTTTTACATGAGATTGTATATTTCACATCAAGTAAAAACAATTTCCTTCCATATTTCTGATGGACTGACCTTTCAGTTCTCTCCACCTTGGTTGGGTATACCTGGTTGGCCTTGCTGCTGGTGCCAAGCTGACCATAAGAGTTAGCTCCCCACGAGTACAGTACCCCTTCATCCGAGAGAGCCATAGTGTGGGCATACCCCGACACCACCTGTATGGTTTGAAGATATGTGTTACTCCTCATGACATGTTGATAGTCGGTTTCACTGGCTTCTCACTCGTGAATACATGATACACACAGTACTGTTTCTGTATGATATTGGTTACACATCAATGATTTACAGTCTATGTTTGGATCATATAAAATGTTTTAAAACATTTGAGTGCATGGCTGTATTCAGTGACTGTGTCAGTAAATGTAAGTCACCTGGCTGATGATGAGACCAGAGAGGGCACCTGCCACCTTGCATGGATTGGGTTGATTCACATTGTTGCCCAGCCCCAGCTGACCATTTCCGTTGTAGCCCCAGCCATACAACTGAAAGAACAGATAAATATTAAACATTACAGAACATAAGAATAAGAATAGCACCTATAATTCTAGGCTGTTGATATGCCAACCGTGTTGTTCGTGTAACTACAGCCTAGAGTCAGTCTGGACTTCCAGATGACAGCCCCATCCTTGAAATGTGTCTACAAAGAGGCAAAGAGAGGGATTCAAGTTTAAGGACACACCGCCGCAGATGTTCGATTCTACTGTCCACCACAGGAGATTGACTTGACATGGGACAGTAGAGTGGCTAGGACATCTGGATCCTGATGCCCCACGAAAGGCAGAAATTGTTGAATCACATATAGTTGAAGAGTGCCTCTTCTCGTAGACAGGCTAGGATAAGAGCGTTTGTTGACTTTATCCTGCCTGGCTTGGGTCTGTTCCATTTTGCCTGTCTTGCTCTGATAAATAATACCCAAATGCAGGTAAAAACACTCTATTAATGAATATTCTATTCGAGCAATTGTGAATAACAAACTAAATTCATGAAGGGAAATGGTTGGAAAAGCTGGAGATTTTCAGCACAACTAAACCCACCTAGTAAATCCATAGATATCTTGAATAAAATATTGTACGCATTTCTTTGGGACAACAAAATGAAAAGACCTTTTGTGACAAGCTCTCAGCTCCAAAAACTACTTCCTAATAAAATTCTAGTCCTGTCAGCGATATTTACAACCATAATCACTTTAAAGTTGGTCAACAACTGTATGGTATTATTTAATTTGGAAAATAAAAATTGTTTGGGGATTAAAGCCGTGCCATTTCAATAATTACCGTGCAATACCCAGCATGCCATGGCACACTAATATATGGGGTATTTCGAACCCTGTATGGCCCTGTGGACGAATACCCAGCATTAAAACAATACTTTGTCAGAGGACATATGCATCAGATGTGATCCGTGAAGATCCGGGTTAAAATTGATCTTCAGTAACCCATGCTTGTCGTAAAAGGCAACTAACAGTATCTGGTGGTCAGGCTCGCTGTTTTGTTTCACTTACAGCTGGCTTGTTTGGCACGTCATTGTATCCCAATTGCGTAGATCGATGCTCATGCTGTTGATCACTGGATTCTCTGGTCCAGACTTGATTATTTACAGACCGCCCCCATATATCTGGAATATTGCTGAGTGTGGCATAAAACTAAACTCACTCACTCATCAGAGTGTTGACAGAACAATGACTGAGTCACTGTCAAGAAAAGCATTGTCACTGAATGAAGAGCATGTGTCTTCTCACAAAGTACTGTACACCGGAAATATTCTGCACCTCGAAAAATTAGCGTCAGCGTACCCCCAGCCTGTTCTGCGACATATTATTTTTGCGAGAGTAGTAGGCTTTGCAAAAAAAACATATTGTGAAGAAGAACAAAGACTCAGCCATTCGTGGATGGAGGGTATCCGGTCCTCTCGATGCAGTAATCAGGAAGTAGGCTAATCCACCAGTAAGCTGTTTTTTGCTGGAGTATTTGTTATAGGACATGATAATAATATGTATGGTCGTCTACTTCGCCATATCAGTGGCTTTCCGCTTGGTAACATGATACAACAGCAGGAAATACCTCCGTTTTGGAACCTTAGTACGAATAACATGTGAGGCATTTCGTTTGATGGCGGGTATCGTTCGAAAGCTCTGAGCATCAACAATATCACTGTACCCTTGCCAGGAGTATTTTCGCAGTTATAAGAAGCGATTTTATTGGATAAAGATTGGTTTGTAATGACGCTTTTCTGCCACAGTCTGCTATGAGGATCGTGTTTGCACGTGACCTAAGGCAGCTAATCAAATAACAGCAATGGATACTGTCCTCGTAAATGAAACTTAGATTCAGTTAGAAAGTTAGAAAGTTTTGGGTAAGAATATTGCCATTCTGAACCTGTTACGCAAAAAATCACCACCTATACGTATATTATGAAACTTAATGGACATATTGTGCTAGGTTATGACCTGTGACAAAAATGCTTCATGCATATATTTTAGCATTAAACATCGTGTCCGAGCGCTAATTTCGAGGCAACAAAAGCCGAGAGGTCACTTGAATTACTTTACACGATCGCACAAAAAAAGATGGAAATAGTAAGTTGTAATGTACGTTTGACCACTATTTTCAGTACTGTTATTAATTTTATTCTTCAGTTTATTCAATTTGTTTAATTATTATCTCGAAACATCGTTACTTTGCTCTTTGACAACTTTGATGTGGACCCATTGCCGAAGCAAGTGTCCGAGGATTGTTTTTTTAATAACTTTGCGAAAATTAGTTTATAATTGATTGATTTAAAATATGAATCAAACGTTAGTTGGGTTCCTAAAATTATTTTGATGCGACTACTGCCTGGCCGGTTTACCGGCCTACAGTGTCTTGGGACGCGTGACGTCTTGGCGGGTTTTCCGGGCTACGGTGTTGAATGGGTTAATATTACTACGCCGAGAATTTTTGTGGGAAAGAGAAACGCAAAATTTGCAAAATATAAACTGACGCAGAATATTTCCGGTTTACAGTATTTACTAATCCATAAGATTTATTTCTGCAAAGTCACAAAGTGATGTTTACCTCACCATTGTCCATTAGGGCCATAGAAGATGTCTGGCCACATGAGATGGCTACAACTGTCCGGCAACCTGAAAATAGCAGAAAGAATCCAATATTTACAGACAAATCTCATTTTATATCAACACATATTTTTGAGAATGGCAATCCAAGAAATAAGTTATAAAAGTATATTCCAAATGATTCGGATTAAATTATCATTAGAGAATAACAAAGTTGTGCAACATGTATCTTGTTCTCATTCCATTTATTTCTCATTCACAAATGTGTGACATACAGCAGTGGAGGTGTGACACAGGACATACAGTAGTGAAGGTGTGGGGGAGTAGGTGTGACACAGGACATACAGCTGTGAAGGTGTGGAAGAGTAGGTCTGACACATGACATACAGCTGTGAAGGTGTGGAAGAGTAGGTGTGACACATGACATACAGCTGTGAAGGTGTGGGAGAGTAGGTGTGACACATGACATACAGCTGTGAAGGTGTGGAAGAGTAGGTGTGACACATGACATACAGCTGTGAAGGTGTGGAAGAGTAGGTGTGACACATGACATACAGCTGTGAAGGTGTGGAAGAGTAGGTGTGACACATGACATACAGCTGTGAAGGTGTGGGAGAGTAGGTGTGACACATGACATACAGCTGTGAAGGTGTGGGGGAGTAGGTGTGACACAGGACATACAGTAGTGAAGTTGTGAGGGAATAAGTGTGACACATGACATACAGTAGAGAAAGTGTGGGGGAGTAGGTGTGACACATGACATACAGTAGTGAAGTTGTGGGAGAGTAGGTGTGACACATGACATACAGCTGTGAAGGTGTGGAAGAGTAGGTGTGACACATGACACAGTAGTGAGGGTGTGGGGGAGGAGGTGTGACACAGGACATACAGCTGTGAAGGTGTGGGGGAGTAGGTGTGACACATGACATACAGCTGTGAAGGTGTGGGGGAGTAGGTGTGACACATGACATACAGCTGTGAAGGTGTGGGGGAGTAGGTGTGACACATGACATACAGCTGTGAAGGTGTGGGGGAGTAGGTGTGACACATGACATACAGCTGTGAAGGTGTGGGGGAGTAGGTGTGACACATGACATACAGCTGTGAAGGTGTGGGGGAGTAGGTGTGACACATGACATACAGTAGTGAAGTTGTGGGGGAATAAGTGTGACATGACATACAGCTGTGAAGGTGTGTGGGAGTAGGTGTGACACATGACACATAGTCATGAAGGTGTGTGGGAATAAGTGTGACACATGACATACAGCTGTGAAGGTGTGGGGGAGTAGGTGTGACACATGACATACAACGGTGAAGGTGTGGGGGAGTAGGTGTGACACATGACATACAGTAGTGATGATGTGTGGGAGTAGGTGTGACACATGACACACAGCTGTGAAGGTGTGGGGGATAAGTGTGACACATGACATACAGTAGTGAAGTTGTGTGGGAGTAGGTGTGACACATGACACATAGTCATGAAGGTGTGTGGGAATAAGTGTGACACATGACACACAGCTGTGAAGGTGTGGGGGATAAGTGTGACACATGACATACAGTAGTGAAGTTGTGTGGGAGTAGGTGTGACACATGACACATAGTCATGAAGGTGTGTGGGAATAAGTGTGACACATGACACACAGCTGTGAAGGTGTGGGGGATAAGTGTGACACATGACATACAGTAGTGACGTTGTGTGGGAGTAGGTGACACATGACGTACAGCTGTGAAGGTGTGTGGGAGTAGGTGTGACATGTGACATACAGTAGTGAAGATTGGGGAATAAGTGTGACACATGACATACAGTAGTGAAGGTGTGTGAGAATAAGTATGACACATGACGTACAACTGTGAAGGTGTGTGGGAGTAGGTATGACACATGACGTACAGTAGCGAAGTTGTGTGGGAGTAGGTGTGACATGTGACATACAGTAGTGAAGATGGGGGGGAAATAAGTGTGACATGTGACATACAGTAGTGAAGTTGTGTGGGAATAAGTATGACACATGACGTACAACTGTGAAGGTGTGTGGGAGTAGGTATGACACATGACGTACAGCAGCGAAGTTGTGTGGGAGTAGGTGTGACATGTGACATACAGTAGTGAAGATGGGGGAAATAAGTGTGACACATGACATACAGTAGTGAAGTTGTGTGGGAATAAGTGTGACACATGGCGTACAACTGTGAAGGTGTGTGGGAGTAGGTATGACACATGACATACAGTAGTGAAAGTGTGTGAGAATAAGTGTGACACATGACATACAACTGTGAAGGTGTAGGACAGTAGGTGTGACACATGACGTACAGCTGTGAAGGTGTGTGGGAGTAGGTGTGACACATGACAATGTGTGGGAGTAGGTGTGACATGTGACATACAGTAGGAATGATGTGTGGGACTAAGTGTGACACACAACATACAGTAGTGAAGATGAGTGGTTATAGGTGGCATACATAACATATAGTTGTTGCAGTGTGTAGGTGACAAATGACACAGTATGGTGTGAGTACCTATGACAGCAGTGATCTTGCGTGGGGTGGGCTGGTTTGTTGTGGTCCCTGTTCCCACCTGTCCACAGTTGTTCTGGCCCCATGCATAGATCTAGGACAGGAAATACATACCATGTAGTGTTGCGAAAGAAAAGGCTGTGGTTTTGATAGCTCTGAGCATACTGTGATGGTTAAAATCCCCACCTATTTGAACCCTATAAAAACCTATTCTCAAAATAGGATAATCGATAAGCACTTTCTGTTTACCCCTCATATGGAGTAGAAAATGAGGATAACATGTGGAAAGGTGAAGGAAAATTACTATCTTGAGGACCAGTAAATAAATAATCATTTAACAAATTATCTAATAATATATTAAATATGTTTTCAAACAGTAGCAATTCACAGCTTTTCATATTTACACTGATTGTTAATCTGTGACCTGGGGCTAGCAGTAAATTACAATATATGTCATAGGCTGGTACTGTCACCATGAGCAGTGTGTCTGTACAGAGAAACGTACCCTAGCCAAAATCAGAATACAGAAACGTACCCTAGGACGATTCCATTCTGCATTGTGTTGTTTTCTTGATCGGACCTGTCATGCTGTGGTATTAGATGCATTTGATAGCATAGAAAGAAAGAAACGAGCATACACACTACCAAATATTTTGCGATGTACAATACCACTCCCAATCAGTTGATTGGGGACAACTACATACGGTTTCGGGTTGCGGAATTTGGACTCAGCCCTCGTTTTGGGTACCGAGTATATTTCTGTAGTTTGACTTTGTTTAGTGTACATTTCTGTGTACAGAAACGTACCTGGGGTACATATCTGTAGTACCTGTGACGACAATGACCCCTTCAGGACTATTTATAGAACTGACAACAGGCACTACATGCATGGCAAGCATTAGTTGGGTCAATGATGTTCATACACAAAACATGTTATGGTGCATACTGCATACCTACTCATGTGGGTTCAGTTTTTCTGATATAACGAACAAGGTGTGAGCTATAAGAATTCTTTGGATTACCTCCCCTTCACTTGTTAGAGCCATGGAATGATGGCTGCCACATGCTACATGAAAGACTTTTTTCCCCTGAAGATTTGTGTTGACAATGGCAGGTTGGAACCCTTGATTAGAGCCTCCGTTACCCAGCTGACAATAGCCATTATGTCCCCAGCTGTACACATCTCCATCTACAAGAAATAACCACCATTGAAGAGTTTGTCTGCATCATGGTTTCTGTCTACATAAGCAGCAAGGAAACGTTAGACAACGGCCATTGTAATCCTTTACTCCAATATATGTAGTAGTCACCAACAAGTTCGTTTTTGAAAGATAAGGTGAGGCGAAATGAGGTTTAACGTCACACTTAAGATTATTTCGCCACTTGCATGCGTGTGTATGTGTGGTTGCTTGTACTAGCCCAGACTTAAGCTGCTTATGGAAGTGCTAGCTCACTGAGATACCATGCCGCAGATAAGCATGAATACCCTACTCAGACACATTATACTGACTCCGAGCCAACCAATCCTTGTTGTACAAGTACCATATTTTAACATATTTACCATATTTTAACATCTTTTAGTATGACGTATCCAGGGATCGAACCCGTGACCTTCCGCTCTCCGGGCGACACACACTAAACACTACACCACAGAAAGGTAAGGTACACATATGACAAGTGGTTGGTCAGCCATTCATATTCAGTTTCCAGTCTATGGAGTGTGGCCACATTGCCTGGTCAAAACTGTCTTTCAATGCATAGAAAAGCAGTATTCAAGTACATTTAATGACATATCATAAAATTGATTAAATTGATAAAAAAATGGAAATTAAAAAAAATAAAATAAAATAAATAAAATTGATTTACAGGTCCATGATGTAATAAAGCCATAGTATAAAGAAGTATGTTATGAAGACTCGCTGTAACCCCACGCATCCCAAGGCGGGATAGGTCTGCCGAAATGCCAGCAGGCGAAGGCGACCTCCAAAGCATATAACCGAAGAAGAAGAAGAAGAAGAAGACTCGCTGTAAAACATATTGATGCAGACAGTCTATAAAAACATACATTTTGAAAATATATTTCTTTTTTAAATCCAGATTTGAATTTCCCACTGTATCAGTCAGGTGGACAGAGGAAGTATTTCCATAGCAACAAGTCTGCACAAGGAGTGAATGTTTCATTGAGCGTTTCATAATTCTTTTGTACTTATATTTGATGCTGAAATCAACATGCTGAACAATTTATTCTCCCTAGAAAGGGTGATATTTGTTTAATAGTTTTGTTATCATCGTAAGCACTTTGTCAAGTTAAATTAAGTTCTTCAAATACATAGTGAAAGGGTTGGGGTACAGTTACTATAAGGCACATGTTTATTCTAGGAGTAAATTCTTAGCTTAACCTGACATCACCAGGCACTTTATAGCAATTAGTAGCAAGAACAGAATTAAACGTCTGTGACCTCAACCTCATTTCTCAAGTAACACATTATCAATTGCACACACTCCTGTGAAGCTGCTCAAGTCATCACACCTCCCCACACACTACTGTACACTTACTTTCAGTGACTGCAAGAACATGAGGACCACTCCCAAAGGCAATGTCAACAACTTTTTTCTTACAGAGTCCTTCAATCTTCCTTGGAGTGAAACTACTGTGGGTGTCACCTGAGGAACAAAGGAGGGACACACCCTGTACTGTTCTTAACAGCTGGACACATTCTATGTGTACTCTGTACATGATCTTAACTTGCCTAGTCTTGAGCATTGACCTTGTTGGCAGAAGTTTTCATAAATGTTGTTCAGGATTGTTAAAACCTGACAGACTGATATTACTTATACAAACAAACATTTTATTGTCATTACTAGGAAATTAAAACAATTTATAGAAATTTCCCAAAGTTGATATATTGAACTGTCAAAGAACGTGTGAGGTAACCAATATAAATATGGAAATATACACACATTTTACGTCACAGTGCTAAAGGTGAAAATTTGAAATATAAGAAGTAATTGAAGTTTAGGAGAGAAAAGAACTACTCCTCCTTTCACTCCTACCTAGTCCCAGGCAGCTGCTGCAGTTTGAGCCAATGGCATACACATCATCATCATCAGTCAGGAAAATAGCCTCATTTCCAGAGCTGCCAAACACACACACTTTCTTGATGGAAGTTAGAACGTCTGGCTCCAGAATACTGAAGATGGACCAGCGACTTAGGTCAGTCATATGACTTATTGTGCTGGCTTCATGGCGAGTAACAAGACTAAGTCTTGAGGTTGAGGAAGATTCAGCCATCTTGCCTTCTGAGCTGGAGTCTCATGCCTCCCCTCTTGCCCACCTCATGGGAAATTCGCCTTCACAGCCTGGGAAGAAGATGACAATTGTTTTAGTCTCAATCCCAAAGGTGTACTAAGGAGACTATTTTTATTGGGGGGTGGGGGGTGGGGGTTGTTCAAATATTGTGCAAAGAATATATTTTGTTTATAAGTTGAATGTTTAATTTTCAATAATTGAACAAGATATGTTTTGAAAAATAACTGGATTAAATGAAGCCTGCCAAGTAATACTAACAATGGGTGATGAAAATTATTTTAGATTCTGTTTCTTCAAATGATCCAAATCTGTTTTATGTAGCTAATGTTTGGTCAAAATATGTATTTAAAATATCTATGTACACATGTGATTTAGCATGTTTAAAAAGATGAGGTGTTAAGGTGTGTCATGTAAAAAGGTGTCTTGAGTCTCTAAAGCCACTTTCTTCACCTCTATTTCACCCCACAGCTAATAGACATGGAACAGTGGCTCTATGGTTTAGATCAGGTGAAATCAGAAGCTTCTGCCTTTAAGGAAGAACTCCGATTCAATGCACTAAAACTGAATCTACACCATTTTGAAATGTGAAACAAATGTTTTGAAAAGAAAAAGGCCAGCATAGGCTACTACAGACCAAACCAAATCACTTCAAATGGAAGGGCACAATTATAAGAGACAATTTTTGTGTGATGTTGTAGCCCGGTATTACGATTTTCCCAAATGAAAAGTAAAGAACTTGACACACGGCACCATGATTTGACTATTGCCAGCTAATCCACGGTTCAAAAGAACATTTGAGACAACTGCACTAGAAAACAACTAGTCCTGGACAAACGGACTGATAGCCATGTCTAAATGTTACTAATCCTGTTCATGGCTCACAGACTGTCTTCTCTGCCACAATGTGCCAGGAATAACCGAAAACCGAACGATACCTGTTAAGGCACCATGAGAGAAATATATCAGTAAGAACAGTAGATATATCTATATGTCATAGAGACATGAGCATGCCGTGATTGGTGATATAGACATGTATCTCATAATACGTTGGTGACACATCCTTATCATACGTAAACCATTACCAGACGAACTTTCATGGTTTAGAACTCACTTACCCAGAGTTCCATGCGGTAAGTCATCGCCGAAGTGTGGTGTTTGTCAACAAATCAGCGGAGACGTTTAGTGACGAAGGCTCTGATTGGGATGCAAAGATAACGTCGACCAATCAAATGTAACCTAACATGATGAAGCGTAGTATCTCAATGATGGCGGCAGGTGCGAAGAGGAAGGCAGGCGTGGGAGATGCCCCGAGTGCCAAAAGAACGCCTGGTCACTGGAGTCAAGGTCTTTTATCGTCCATGGATGACCCAGAACTCAGAGTAGATGCTGATGATAAACTTGTAATTATTAAGGACAAATACCCAAAGGTGAATGAGCATGGTGATTTCTGCAGATGCCACCCACCGTCCCTCCGTCTTCAAGTTCAAGACTAGCAGTGGCAGTACCATAAACATAACTTATTTCCAGTGCAAAAACGTGACAGTACACACGCGAACAGGGAAAGAGTTCCTTTCGTTCCCCCAACCCTAACTTAAATTTAGGATTTTAGTAAATTTGTGAGTTCTATAGTAAGTGTTGTGTTAAGTTTTGTTAATAATTTTAGTATCTGTTTCATTAATACTATTTGCGATGGGGGAACGGGAGGAACTCTTACCCGCGATTAGATGTGTTATCGGAATCATTATTCATTCACAGGTTACATAAGATAGATCAAGAACTTGTCAACTACTCCGGAAATCGTTGTTACTAAGTCGATTGTTTGATTGTAGATGATACCTTCTCCTTAACAAATTATGATGAAATGTGAGTAAATTTATATATCCTCTGTAGATTAATCCAAGTAGAAGTAAAGCATCATCTACGCCAATGTAAGTAAATAGTATTATGAAGTGTGTTAAAGTGTTGCTTTACCAGATGTGAGGTGTAAGTTAAAGTTATGAAATCACCACACATAAAGGGCCAAGAAGTTGACATTTCTGGGTGTTTGTTGTTGTTGTTTTTTTTAGAGGGGTGCCATTGCACCTTTCGTTCATGCACAATTGATAACTCAAGCAATATGCTGAAAAGAACATATTAACAACAAATCGTAGGGAATGCTCATGTGCATTAAAGCCTTGTTACAAAGGCCTTAATTGCATCATAAATGCCCCACTCATGTGTAGCCAGCCATGTTGCAAAAACAGTCAAGGGGTTTCCCCTGTAAGAAGGGCTTACTGAGCTTCAAATAAACCTACTTCCAGTCGCTGAATAAGGTAAGCAGAGCCAGGAAAGTTTGGGTAGCTATTGTTTCCAAAGAATGAGAATGATCAACATCCTGGTGCTTTAAATGTATTAAATACATATTAGATAAATGTATTAAATGTGTATTAGATTTCATATTTTAATACTGGTTTAATATTATGTTTCACTTTGACCTTTAAGTGTCTATCGATGTCTTTTGAGCCATCCAATGACATGCATGATGCTATGTTGTTTCTGATAAGGTAGATCCATATCTCGTGTTTCTCACATAATTTTACATTTCAGGCACTACATCACTTCCTTGTTTTGCCAAAGGAGAAGATTGCCAACTTAAAGAAATTGAAGTCAGAACATATACCCCTCCTTAAACACATCCACAAGAAAGGAACTGAGATAGCAGAGAAGTCAGTAGCTGCTATACTCAACTGTTGTCATCATTTAGTGTGCCATGTTTAGAGAAATTTCCGGGGTTTACAAACCCCACAAACCTTCTAGTTTAAAAAGGGATGTGTGGCCATGGATGAACTTGTGCTTTCACTTCTTTTGGTGACATTTGTATTGTTAATATTTCTGATAGTGCAGATTCTAGTATTTCTGATGTCATTTATCTCCAATATCCGTAATAAGATGAACTTGTGGACAAAAATATAATTAAATCCACCTCTGGACTGCAGACTCATCCCGCCATACAATTTTGGTTTGCCTTTGGGCACTAAACAGTGGTGGATCCAGGGGGGTGGTTTGAAACGCACGCACGCACGCATGCACACACACATACACACACACACGCACCTTTGAAAATAATTACTAAAGACCACATTGAAGTTTGGCAATGGCGGAGCCAAGGTGTGGTTCAGGGGGTTGGAACAGACCCACCCACCCATGCTAAAACATATTATATGCATTGATTTCAAGTGTTTTATAATAATAATACTAATAATGAGACTGCTTTTATAGCGCCTAATCCACATCACTCAGGGACATGCCCAAAGCGCATAATGAACAACACTCTCTTTGTGTTTTAGAGCAGACCAGAATCTGCAGTTTCGGTTTGGCTATCATGCTGTTCCCAGTATGAGGTAAGTCAGATAGTTGTCAGATGTCAGAATAGCTGACTCGTATGAGTCCACTTTTGTCCTCTTGGAATTGATAGTGAACTTGCCTTTCCTCCTTTGCAGGTATTGGCAGCATTCCTTAAATGATCTGTCAGTTCAGTGTCATTTAATATTTCAATGAACATTTTGCAGTAATGTCCTCAGTATCGGCCATTCAAGAAAATTATATTACATTACATGGAGTTTGGGGCCTGTCATGCTGTATGATTGTGGATGACGAAACTTTATGAGAGTGAATTGTATTACGATGAATTATCAGCAGACTGTCATTAGTACTATTGTTTGTGGCTCTTGTACTTGTATACGTCATTAGTTGGATCTTGCATCCTCACTGTAATATGTGGGCTGTATTAGACATCAGTGGTATCTTGCATCCTCACAATTATATGTGGGCTGTATTAGGCATCCTTTGGATCTTGCATCCGCAATGTTATATCTGGGCTGTATTAGACATCATCACTGGGATCTTGCATCCGCAATGTTATATGTGGGCTGTATTAGACATCACCACTGGGATCTTGCATCCCTAATGTTATATGTGGGCTGTATTAGATATCATCAGTGGGATCTTGCATCCGCAATGTTATATGTAAGCTGTATTAGATATCATCAGTGGGATCTTCCATCCACACTGTTATATGTGGGCTGTATTAGACATCATCACTGGGATCTTGCATCCTCTCTGTTATATGTTGGCTGTATTAGACATCATCACTGGGATCTTGCATCCGCAATATTATATGTGGGCTGTATTAGATATCATCAGTGGGATCTTGCATCCGCAATGTTATATGTAAGCTGTATTAGATATCATCAGTGGGATCTTGCATCCACACTGTTATATGTGGGCTGTATTAGACATCAGTTGGATCTTGCATCCTCTCTGTTATATATAAGCTGTATTAGACATCAGTTGGATCTTACATCCTCACTGTTATATGTGGGCTGTATTAGATATCATCAGTGGGATCTTGCATCCTCACTGTTATATGTGGGCTGTATTAGACATCATCAGTGGGATCTTGCATCCTCACTCTTATATGTGGGCTGTATTAGAAATCATCACTGGGATCTTGCATCCGCAATGTTATATGTGGGCTGTATTAGACATCATCACTGTGATCTTGCATCCGCAATGTTATATGTGGGCTGTATTAGACATCAGTTGGATCTTGCATCCTCTCTGTTATATGTGGGCTGTATTAGACATCAGTTGGATCTTGCATCCTCTCTGTTATATGTGGGCTGTATTAGACATCAGTTGGATCTTGCATCCGCAATGTTATATGTGGGCTGTATTAGACATCATCACTGGGATCTTGCATCCGCAATGTTATATGTGGGCTGTATTAGACATCATCACTGGGATCTTGCATCCGCAATGTTATATGTGGGCTGTATTAGACATCAGTTGGATCTTACATCCTCACTGTTATATGTCCCATTTCTGGTGTCCCCCGCCGTGATATTGCTGGAATATTGCTAAAAGCGGCGTAAAACCAAACTCACTCACTCACTGTTATATGTGGGCTGTATTAGACATCATCGGTGGGATCGTGCATCCTCACTGTTATATGTGGGCTGTATGAGACATCAGTTGGATCTTGCATCCTCTCTGTTATATGTGGGCTGTATTAGACATCAGTTGGATCTTACATCCTCTCTGTTATATGTGGGCTGTATTAGACATCAGTTGGATCTTGAATCCTCTCTGTTATATGTGGGCTTTATTAGACATCAGTGGGATCTTACATCCTCACTGTTATATGTGGGCTGTATTAGACATCAGTTGGATCTTACATCCTCTCTGTTATGTGTGGGCTGTATTAGACATCAGTTGGATCTTGCATCCTCTCTGTTATATGTGGGCTGTATTAGACATCATTGGGATCTTACATCCTCTCTGTTATATGTGGGCTGTATTAGACATCATTGGGATCTTACATCCTCTCTGTTATATGTGGGCTGTATTAGACATCATCAGTTGGATCTTGCATCCTCTCTGTTATATGTGGGCTGTATTAGACATCAGTTGGATCTTACATCCTCACTGTTATATGTGGGCTGTATTAGACATCAGTTGGATCTTGCATCCTCACTGTTATATGTGGGCTGTATTAGACATCAGTTGGATCTTGCATCCTCTGTTATATGTGGGCTGTATTAGACATCAGTTGGATCTTACATCCTCTCTGTTATATGTGGGCTGTATTAGACATCAGTTGGATCTTACATCCTCTCTGTTATATGTGGGCTGTATTAGACATCAGTTGGATCTTACATCCTCTCTGTTATATGTGGGCTGTATTAGACATCATCAGTTGGATCTTACATCCTCTCTGTTATATGTGGGCTGTACTAGACATCATCAGTTGGATCTTACATCCTCTCTGTTATATGTGGGCTGTATTAGACATCAGTTGGATCTTACATCCTCACTGTTATATGTGGGCTGTATTAGACATCAGTTGGATCTTACATCCTCTCTGTTATATGTGGGCTGTATTAGACATCATCAGTTGGATCTTACATCCTCTCTGTTATATGTGGGCTGTATTAGACATCAGTTGGATCTTACATCCTCACTGTTATATGTGGGCTGTATTAGACATCAGTTGGATCTTGCATCCTCACTGTTATATGTGGGCTGTATTAGACATCAGTTGGATCTTACATCCTCACTGTTATATGTGGGCTGTATTAGACATCAGTTGGATCTTACATCCTCACTGTTATATGTGGGCTGTATTAGACATCAGTTGGATCTTACATCCTCTCTGTTATATGTGGGCTGTATTAGACATCAGTTGGATCTTACATCCTCTCTGTTATATGTGGGCTGTATTAGACATCAGTTGGATCTTACATCCTCTCTGTTATATGTGGGCTGTATTAGACATCAGTTGGATCTTACATCCTCTCTGTTATATGTGGGCTGTATTAGACATCAGTTGGATCTTACATCCTCACTGTTATATGTGGGCTGTATTAGACATCATCAGTTGGATCTTACATCCTCACTGTTATATGTGGGCTGTATTCATCATCAGTTGGATCTTACATCCTCTGTTATATGTGGGCTGTATTAGACATCAGTTGGATCTTATCCTCTCTGTTATATGTGGGCTGTATTAGACATCAGTTGGATCTTACATCCTCACTGTTATATGTGGGCTGTATTAGACATCAGTTGGATCTTACATCCTCACTGTTATATGTGGGCTGTATTAGACACATCAGTTGGATCTTACATCCTCTCTGTTATATGTGGGCTGTATTAGACATCAGTTGGATCTTACATCCTCACTGTTATATGTGGGCTGTATTAGACATCAGTTGGATCTTACATCCTCACTGTTATATGTGGGCTGTATTAGACATCAGTTGGATCTTACATCCTCACTGTTATATGTGGGCTGTATTAGACATCAGTTGGATCTTACATCCTCACTGTTATATGTGGGCTGTATTAGACATCAGTTGGATCTTACATCCTCACTGTTATATGTGGGCTGTATTAGACATCAGTTGGATCTTGCATCCTCTCTGTTATATGTGGGCTGTATTAGACATCAGTTGGATCTTACATCCTCTCTGTTATATGTGGGCTGTATTAGACATCAGTTGGATCTTACATCCTCACTGTTATATGTGGGCTGTATTAGACATCAGTTGGATCTTACATCCTCACTGTTATATGTGGGCTGTATTAGACATCAGTTGGATCTTACATCCTCACTGTTATATGTGGGCTGTATTAGACATCAGTTGGATCTTACATCCTCACTGTTATATGTGGGCTGTATTAGACATCAGTTGGATCTTACATCCCTCACTGTTATATGTGGGCTGTATTAGACATCAGTTGGATCTTACATCCTCACTGTTATATGTGGGCTGTATTAAAGACATCAGTTGGATCTTACATCCTCACTGTTATATGTGGGCTGTATTAGACATCAGTTGGATCTTACATCCTCACTGTTATATGTGGGCTGTATTAGACATCAGTTGGATCTTACATCCTCACTGTGTTATATGTGGGCTGTATTAGACATCAGTTGGATCTTACATCCTCACTGTTATATGTGGGCTGTATTAGACATCAGTTGGATCTTACATCCTCACTGTTATATGTGGGCTGTATTAGACATCAGTTGGATCTTACATCCTCTCTGTTATATGTGGGCTGTATTAGACATCATCAGTTGGATCTTACATCCTCACTGTTATATGTGGGCTGTATTAGACATCAGTTGGATCTTACATCCTCACTGTTATATGTGGGCTGTATTAGACATCAGTTGGATCTTACATCCTCACTGTTATATGTGGGCTGTATTAGACATCAGTTGGATCTTACATCCTCACTGTTATATGTGGTCTGTATTAGACATCAGTTGGATCTTACATCCTCACTGTTATATGTGGGCTGTATTAAACATCAGTTGGATCTTGCATCCTCTCTGTTATATGTGGGCTGTATTAGACATCAGTTGGATCTTACATCCTCTCTGTTATATGTGGGCTGTATTAGACATCAGTTGGATCTTACATCCTCACTGTTATATGTGGGCTGTATTAGACATCAGTTGGATCTTACATCCTCACTGTTATATGTGGGCTGTATTAGACATCAGTTGGATCTTGCATCCTCTCTGTTATATGTGGGCTGTATTAAACATCATCAGTTGGATCTTACATCCTCACTGTTATATGTGGGCTGTATTGGACATCAGTTGGACCTTGCATCCTCACTGTTATATGTGGGCTGTATTAGACATCAGTTGGATCTTACATCCTCACTGTTATATGTGGGCTGTATTAGACATCAGTTGGATCTTACATCCTCACTGTTATATGTGGGCTGTATTAGACATCAGTTGGATCTTACATCCTCACTGTTATATGTGGGCTGTATTAGACATCAGTTGGATCTTACATCCTCACTGTTATATGGGCTG